TTTGTTTTTCTGTTGCCCCCCCCCCAGGTCTGTACATACAGCGGCCCGTGTGAGGAGCCTTGTTCTAGGTCTGAGTGGCCAGCAGCTACAAAGGGAAGCTCCTACGTATCTACGTATCTACTTAGGAAAGACACCAAAAACCCCAAAAGTGGCCTCAAACAGAAAACTCAAAAACTGGGGCCTGTAGTGCGACGTGTTCTGTATATATAATATATACATATATGTATATCATATTCGTAGCAGTCGCAATAGTAAGCCATGCCTTCAGCAGCCTCCGATAGCAGGCCGCAGCTTGCGCCCACTGATGCCGCTCCCGGTGGAGGCTTGCCAACTGGTGCTGTACCTCGCATGAGCTACAGTCGATACACTCCCGGAAACTAACATGGAAACCCAAAAAGGGCCCAATAAAGACTACAGTCCTTCTAAAAGGGGACTATATGAGTTTCCATGTTAGTTTGGGGGAGTGTATTTCTCATATGACTGATATTTCTCATAAATCTCTTAGGAGGACCTCCCACCCTGTAATAGTGATCTAATAGGAATATAAGAAGACCCTAATATAATCCCTATTATCCCTTATAGTCACTATTACTGGGTAGGGGGTCCACATAATAAACTCTAGATAACTCATGGACATGGGTTCCGATCTGGGGAATAGATTAGGAGCTATACTAAACCACTTGGGCGACCTTTATATCCAATCTTAATGGGTAACCCTACTAAAAGCTAGGGGGTCAGGGTGCAGGAAACTTGAAAAATGACATGGAAACTACTGTTTAGGCTTTAGGGTTTTGGGTAGTTTAGGATTGGTAAATAAACCTTTTAAGCCCTACATAACCGCTACATATTCCCTAGTTTCCATTTCATTTTTCCATTTTCTTGTCCATTTGGTTCTCCATCATTTTTGGGGCTCGTTAAGTCGATAATCTGAAGTCGCGTGAAAGGTATACTTTTGGGGGTCCCTTTCGCGGTCGCAATAATAGAGATTATAATATTTTGGGGGTCTATGTTGGGGTCCCCCTACCACGTATGTATATACACAGATTTAGACGGAGAGAGCGCGCGCATCATTTATGGACAAAACGTCGCGAACTTCTCCAAGCAAGACCTATCTAATCCCACAACCTGAAAACCATGTGAACATGTGTTTTGGTGATGGAACCTAGTTGTATACATATGTAAGAGCAAGTGGGGTGATAAATGCATGAGGGCGAACACTCCTCAT